ACCTCCTAAAACAAACTAAATAATATAACTACTATTTCTTCTCTCTCTCTCTCTCTCTCTCTCTCTCTCTCTCTCTCTCACTCATTTGTTTTATATCAAGTTTATTTTATTTTTACCAAAACTTTTCCACCCTGCTTTCCTCCCACTCATGAAAATGGTATGGTTTCCTAATGAATTCTTATTCTCATGGTTCCCTTTTTTTTTGTTCTTGAATGCAGGTTTTGGTGCTTGCCTCCTTTCAAAGGCTTGCGCAGCGATCCCGAGCAGAAGCTTAAGCCTGGTATTGTCACAGTGGGGGCAAAGAGGTCGCACATCACGAGTGACAATGATCCCCTGTATATTGAAGTGAGCCCATCAGCAATCATAAAGCGAAAACTCGTAACCTTTCGAAACCATTTTTCTCCATTTTTTTCTAATTTATATTTTGTTGTTTCATCCCATACAAGCACTAGGGTAAATGCTACTATGACTGTCCCCATTTTATTTTTTCTATAAATTTCTGTTCGTTTTTTTTTCCCCCAACCAATGCAACCACCTTGCAAGTAAGTTGGGGAATTTCTGTTTTCTCTCTTTTTGGTCAGTATGCCCTTTTAATGACTTGAGGGCCTCTCCTATTATAATGTGCCATTATAAATTTAGACCCCAATGTACTATCAGTACCCCCTAGGCCATCACTTACCAAAAGAATTACAAAAAAGGAACAGACCATATTCTATCACTATGGAGTATTTTTTTAGCCTAAAAACATCCAAAGGTTCCTCTGGCAAAATATTTAAACGGTAAAAGTATATAGCAAGATCAACTACTTGTGGTACCAAAAGCTCACGATCACCTTTAGCCGTCAGTTGCTAAAACAAGTAGTTGGGGGCAACACACTGACCATGCTTAAAAGTTTGAATTGTTTTTCTTTTTCTAACTTTGTGTGGAGAAAGGACACTCTTCTAGTCAGCTAATTTCATATCTAATGTCTAGGGGTGATGTGGTATTTCTACGTCAAAGGTGTGAGCGATCTTACAGTATGAAATCCATATCCTAAATTTGCGATTTCAAAATATTGCATTTTATTTGCTGATATCTTGAAAATAATGTGTTCTACACCTTGATCTTACAAATTAAGTAGGAACAAAATCCGTAATCCCGAAGGGAAGTTATGGTAGTGTGTACAGCTGGGAATCCACTGTCCCTTACCAACTATTGATGGTGGATATTAACTTACTATTCACATGGGTACATCTGGTGGTGGACTTTCTCTTGGATACAGTTCAGTCGCAAGAACAGGGCGCCGATGTGTACTGTGGACCATACAGAGGCTGTGTATGGTTTGTCTCTCCAAATCCCAGCTCCCAAACTTACCTACTCCTCTGCTTATACTAGTTTTACCCACGCAAAACTGCTAAAAAATGGATATTAAATAAAAACATACTAGATTATGGAAAAAGAAAGACCTTACTGCCTCCCCAAAAACCTCCAAATATTTAATAAGTTGATCCTGCAGGAGGTGAAATGACTTCGCAGTTAGTTTCTGTGTTGTCTTGTCTTTTCTTGACATTTCTCATTATGTTAATTTATAATTCAAATTCAATTGTAACTGGAATTTGTGTTGTCATACATAGGATGGTCCTTTTGTTTTGTTATGTTTTGTTTTTTGCACTTTTTATTTATTTATTTATATGTAGCTCAGAAAGGAGAAGGCTCACTCAAGAAAGAAGACACTGGTGAAGAGAGGCCTATTCTCAAAAGGATAAGAAGAGGCCCTTCAAAGTGTCGCCGGTATAAGAAGCCATACCGGCTAATTCTTGCTTTCCTTCAATGCTTAGAATATCCCTTTTTTCTCATTTCGTTTTCTAATGATCTCTGAAAATGTTTCTGATGAATTCTCAAGCCTTTTTAAACAGTTTTTGTTAAGTCCTGGTTTTCCATTTTCTCTTACTGTACATGCAATAATGTAAATTTATTCTGGACTGCATTGTCTATGGAAATAAATAATTTTTTATATTGAAAAGATAGTTTGTAAGTCCGATTACTAAATAGTGTAGAAAAAGCTATGATGATGATGAGATCTGATGATGATGAGTGAAAAGATAGTTCGGTTCAATTGCTCCTGCAGTAGCGTATTGTACTCTGACTCCCTTGGGCAAAAAGCTTCTTGGGAGAATTTCTTGGATTTGAAATTTTGGGATTCAAGAATCAACAGATGATAAATTTCAAAATAGAATTGGATTTTGAGTTTTTCAACATTTGACCATACTATCCCATAATTGGGTTGTCCTTCAATCTTATGACTTCTTTTTTTCAGGGTGAGGTGCAAATTTGAGTTGTTTGTCTTTCATTTTTTTTGAGGTTGTCACTAGGTTCTGAAGTCCAAATGGACAGTATGCTCCCAAGGTAGCCGGAAGCCATTTTATGTACGTAAATGCGAGTCTCTTTTTAGTGAGGAAGTCGTTTCTAAATCTTCTGGATGAAATTATTTGGCAAGATCTCTTTAGTAGGGAGATGGAGTGGATTTGGAGATTTTAAAATAGGCTGACTGGAGACCACTGTGGATGAGCAAACGACTGTCATCAATTCATTCCAGGGTTTTAAAATTGGCAATCCGTAGTAATCCGGAGTGTCGAATTTGGATCGGGAATTAGTGATGATTTAATTGGTTCTCAATCAGAACTTGGAATCATTTCGGCTCTCATGGGTATATACGGGAAATGACAGCTATAAGAGCTGTCGGGAAATGACAGCTATAAGGGCTGACAGCTGCATTGTTAGCCAACGGTAGCCAACAACTTATATTGAATTAAGGCTAGTTTTAATGGTCACGATCTTATTTTTTATTTGAATTTTTATTTATGTAAATCTAAATTATTTGAAATTTTGAGTGTTTATTATTTGAAAATAGGAGAATATAATAAAAATATATATAAAATAATTCGTAAAATATAAATTGATCAAAATTCTTTTAAATTTATTTTGGGGTATTTGGATCGATTTTTATTTTGTAAATTGTTTTTTAGATATTTTATTAAGTGCATTTTGATGAGAAGAATGAATATTTAAAATTTCAAATAATTTGGATTTGTATAAAAAACAATGAAATACGAAATGAAGTTATGACTGTCAGATCGGTCCATATTCATCATGGGTCGTTGGCTGACACTGTAGTTGTCAGCCCGTGGGTTGACATAATCTATTTCCTTTTGTTGTCTTTTGATTTTTTATTGACTTATTCTAATTAGTGGGATTGTTGATCGAGACCGTTGTTGTGTCGATCTAGACCAGTTGCCTTGATGGCCAATTCTCAATCTTAATTTTGAAAACACTTATGCGTCATGGAAATAAAGCTATATCATTGTTTTTGGGTATTGTCTACAAATAGACTATTTATCTTTTGTAAAAGGAGGTCACAATCATTTTTATCTTTTTTATCTCAACACTTACGCATCATGGAAATAAAGTTATATCATTATTTTTGGGTATTGTCTACAAAGAGACTATTTATCTTTTTTACAAAGAAGTTACAATCATTTTTGTTATTTCAATCTCAAAATGGGTGGTAGTAAGAGTCTATATGATTAGACAGTTTTAAGAGAAAAATCTTGGACTTTGTGATTTACTCCAAACTATCCGTTTTGATCTCCTTATACAAATGGTAAGCGGTCTATTTGTTGACAATCCCTTTTTGTCCCAATACCATAAATTGGATTTTATAAGCCTTCTTTTTGTCCCAAAATTATAAATTGGATGTCACAAGCCTGCATTGCATTTGCCTTTAGTATCTAGATTTATAATTGGAAAGTACATGTCAAATATTTGAAATCGCCTACCATATTTATTTGAGCGTAATGATCATATGAGACCCTCCCCTACCCGAACTGTTATGAGACCCCTACTTATATCCATAGCAGTGTTTAAAAAAACGCCGAGTCGAACCGGACTCACCCGGTTCGACTCGAGAATCGCCATGGACGGATCGAATCGATGAAAAAAACAGGAATCGTCCGGTTCTAGAGAGAACCGAACGATTCTGCACAGTGACTCGCCGATTCACTGTACGGGAATCGGCGAGTCCGTACAGTAAATCGGCGAGTTCCGTACGGCTTTATTTATTTATTTATTTATTTATTTATAATACTTGATCTATTTTTTTGTAATCCATGATCGAATTGGTTTTTTTTTTTTTGTAATCCATGATCGACTTTTTTGTTTTTTTTTTGTTTTGTAAGCCATGATCGAATTTTTTGTAATCCATGATCGAAATGTTTGTTTTTTTTTCTTGTAATCCATGATCGAATTTTTTTTTTTTGTAACCCATGATAGAATTTTTTGTAATCCATGATCGAATGTTTTGTAATCCATGATCGAAATGTTTGTTTTTTTTTGTAATCCATGATCGAAATGTTTGTTTTTTTTTGTAATCCATGATCGAATTTTTGTTTTTTTTGTAATCCATGATCGAATTTTTGTTTTTTTTGTTTTTGTTAACCCATGATAGAGTTTTTGTAATCCATGATT